GGGAGAGASACTGGCGGAGGCCAGTGGTACGTACCTGTGGCGCCATCGCTCCAGCTCCATCTTCGAGGTACCTGCATCAAGGCGCCAACTTCACAAGTTAGTACTGGAGTTTTTTCTTCCTCTTCTCAGTCCACCATCTCTTCTTCCCCTCTCACCACCTGCTTCTCAGTATCAGCGGACTACTACAGAGAGAGAGTTGTGACATGAGACTTGACGACATTGGATCCAGACTCGACATTGGGATTCAGACATTTTGACGAGGGACTATTTGGGCCTGTGCTGAACACTTGGTGTTGACGACATTCCCATCTTCCCTTCTTCTTCGTCTAACCCCACCTCCTTCGTCTGTGTATGGTTGGGGCCGGCGCAGTCTTCTTGTGTGAAGCGCCAGACCCCTTCACACCATGATGATGATGATGTATGTTCGGGGCTGCATTACAATATTGATTGTTCGGATCATTGGTATCTAAGTCTTCCGCTGTGCTATCTTATACTTTGTATTGAAAGGTCAGTTCTTGTTCTGGTTTGCACCTATACGGTATGCAACACAACTAGATGATCAAAATAAAAATAACATCTCCTGTTGGAGATGTATTACTGGATGGCAGATTGATAGTTGATTGCCATTGTGAACAGTTACCGGAATCCCCCCTCCCCCTGTATCCTTCTTGATTGGTCACTTTGTGACAACGATCCTGAGCATTTGGTTGAGCAGCGTGCCTGAAGGTGTGCAATCCGGCCCACCCCTGTGCCCCAAGTCATTGCCGAACATGCCAGCCAGTCCACTCTTATTTACCCTCGTACGGAACGAGCCTTACACCCAGTTGATTGGCTGATCAGGAGGAATTTTCGGAGAGCCCCCATCTCCTCAGGAATTATTTAACATCGCAGTCAGGACGACGATCACAACCAGATTCAATCTGAGTCCCCAACTAGAAATATTTATAGACGGTCTGGTAAGCGTCTCATAAAAGGCTGGCATGCCCGGGAAGACCTCTATTGCGCAAGCAGCAGAACCAAGGACTTGCGGCCCAAGCATGCGTGYACTAGTCYYAGCGGGTTGGCATGGTGAYSGTGACCCGAGTGCTTCGTCCAGGGCCCTTCAGAGGCTTCGCYCGTCTCCCAYCAGCTTGCTGCCCAGGAASAATGTCGACTCTCAAGGTTRAGCGCTCGCGACACCTCACATCGAGAGGACTCTCAAGACATAACTCACTTTCTCACGGTAAGAAGAGATGAAGAGGGTAGATAAGGAAGAGAGCAACATACCTCATAAATGCTGCCCCCAACCACATATTTCTCAACGGTAACCTGATGTGCAATTATGATGACCGGTCCTTGCCTCAGCACGACCAACAGGAGAATGCGGTTCCACCTTGGCTTAATATGCCACATCAGCGAGTTCTCATCATCCAGCATACACCCCGTATGTCACCACACAGCTCCCTGGCGCGCCCACCCGACCCTGGGCCGCCTATCGTTCAACGCCAATGCCTTATCACTGCCCCACACCTCATGCGAAGCACCAACAGCTATTGCGAAGAACCAATGAAGCACAATATGAACCAGCTCCGATTGAAACGGTTTTCACCTTTTAGCAGTAATGGATGCAGTACCCAGGGTTCGATCCCTAGACCTCACCCTACCCATGTACAGTATCTGTGTAGACCCCGAGAGTTTAACCTGTGACCTGTGTATTCGTAGACAGCTGGTAGGTCTGTCATAGGTCCATAGGCAGTAGGGGTTCATCTGTAGGTCTATAGCGAAGAAGTCTTAGTGAGTTCCGGAAGGTTAACTGTAGACCTTCTAGAAGGTAGGCAAGTGGGCAAGTGGTCAAGTGGCGAGGCAAGTGGTGGACTAAACTGCAGTGCAATAACAGTACGACGTCGG